CTGATGTCCTCCCTTCGCATAATAATAGCTGAGCACAGAACATGGAGGTCTATTGGTCAGACTTCTATTGACGTCTATAATTTTCAAACATTTCGGTTTGACATGGGGCCCATGCTTAATGAAACTGTGGTCATATCTTCATCAAACTTGAAAGAGGAACTTACATCTGCACCATATTTAGCGGGTGGCTATTATTTGGTCTAGGTTCTAGACCATCTTTTGATCATCATAATCTGAAGTTATTTTAGCACTTTCATAGGGGTGAAGACATTTTCATTTCTGTTTGGAACTTGCATCGATGCCCGAATCATTGGGAAGAAGCCGATAGATTCAATCCTGAGAGGTGGCCACTTGATGGACCTAACCCAAATGAGACGAACCAAAATTTCAGGTATTGCAATTGTCAGCTCATTAGTGTGTTGTGTACAAAAGAGGTAGCTCAATTTTGCTTGTATTTTTGGTAAAATACTTGTCATTCTTGGATTGCATGTTAATTTTAATCCCAGTATTAGAGAGATGTTTTTTGTACTGTTTTTGTTTTCTACTGACTACCAATGAAATGACATGACCGAAGGCAATCATATTTATGGTAGTTGACATTTCAAGTTTACTGAGCTCAAAAACTTCTATGTTCGTCATCACTATTTTGATCTTATTGATTTGAGCCATGTTATATTTGGTCTTTTTCACCATTTGGAGAAGTATGAGATGGATATTTTTACACTTTGAACTCTCCCTTCAGTCTAACATCGGTGAAATAGATTGGAAATACAGGTAAGTTATGCATGCTGGGAGGATCCACCAACTGGTTGGAATTTAAAGTATACCTAAAACATAATTCAACTTTTTTTATCAAGTAAACCATTGTTGATTGGGTTTCTGGTTGCTGTGCAACCAATATTTCGAGAACTTAACCAGTCAATCTCTTGTTTTAGTCGGCAATTACGAAGCAAATAATGCTTTATTGTCATAGATGTCCATTCTTTCCTACTCGAAATTGTCCCTTCTCTATACTGCATTTTTCTTCTGATGTAGTTCATAACAACTCCCATAAGCTGGTTACTTTTAGGAGAAAAGATCACTGCATTGGAAAATTTGCAGATGACGAGGATCTGCAGAGTCATTTTTTGAGTTATTTGAAGAATCTTGACTTGGCAAATTTTGTAGTTCACTGAGTGATATTTCATTCATGCCACATAGCATTCTTCATACATGAATACACTTCCGACTTCATCTTAGATAGTTGACGAAGGCAATTTGTTAGAATATCAGTAGAACTCTTTGTTTATTTCCATGTAGAGCTAATATCAATATGCTTTAACATGGGAAAATATCCTGATATTCCTCCATTTTCGAGCTTGAAACAGACATAAACTAAAATGCCTTTTTCCATTCCGTTCTCAGTTACCTTCCCTTCGGTGGTGGACCAAGAAAATGTGTGGGAGACATGTTTGCCACATTTGAGGTAATCCTTTAAATAGTAGACTGCAGTAGTGAGGACGTTGCTTGTCATTACTGCATTAACATTCGTATATGTTCAAGAGCTCCCCTCATAATTTTTATCTATCTTCAGAATTTAGTAGCAGTTGCAATGCTTGTTCAACGATTTGATTTTCAAATGGCTCTTGGAGCTCCTCCTGTGAGTTTACTGTTCTCACTTAATTTTTGGCATTTCTGTACCTGTTACACCTGGATGAACTTTAGGATATGGCCTCTTATCTACTCTTGAGTATAATCAACTTGGCTGCAGGTTAAAATGACAACTGGGGCTACCATCCACACCACAGAAGGATTAAAAATGACTGTAACACGAAGATCAAGACCTCCAATAGTTCCCAACTTGGAGATGGCAACATTAGAAGTAGATGTCAATTCAGTGTCAAGCGACAGAGCCGAAGCTGAAGCTTCTACTGTTCGACCATAATAGAACTGACTACAAGCAACAGCAGCATGTATTTAACAAACAAGGAACTATGTACGGTTAGAGTCCTTAATGCTGTCAGTCAAGATGAAGTCACTGTAAGTATATTAATGGTATACAATAGACCCTTATAGGCAAAAATCTCATTAAAAATGAATCCACTTTTGGTGGCCAATTCTTTATCAAGTCTTTAAAATGGTCAAATTTCATTTCAATTGAGCTATCAAATGTTGTAATCATCAGTCATACTTTTTCTTCTGATTTCCTTTCCCATTAATATTAATTAAGTACTTGTTACTTTACACTAGTCAATAACTAGTCCTAGTTCAAAACAAAATGAGTTCGTGTCCAACAAAACTGCAAAACTGAAAACAGATCTATTCTACCGAAATCGCTCTATGGATTCTGATGAATGTGAAGGTAGAAGAAAGATGAGTCCGAAGCCAAAATAGTAAAAAAAAACAAAAAATTGCCAAAAATTTCAATAAGTCAACAAATTGATTTTAGAACTGAAAGAGCAATTTTGTAACGATTGCGCAGGAGAATTGCGTCTTCTCTATTAATTAAAACAATATATATATTATTTCTTATTTCATTATAAAAAGGGAGAAGAGTTAAAATATTCTCAATTTTAATTTAATATTTAAATTTATCTTCGATGTTACGGATTGATCCAATTTTATTTTATTTTTTAAAAAACTAGTTTCTTATTTTAAACCAAACCCATTTAAAATAACTCATCCCTATTTAAAATAACTACCATTTCTCTATCACCATGAAGCTATCATACAGGAAACCAGGTCACACGAACAAGTCTTCTCCATTAAATCCTCCGCACCTCTTTTTTGTGTTTAATTGTTTCTAAATTTTGAAGAGGGTTGTCCTAATCAGAGTGCACATCCATAATCGATCCATTCGATTAGAGAAGAGGAAAAGGAATTGTTGCTTCATTTCGTGTGCTGCTAAACTTTAAGGGGATTCGTCATTTGTGTCGGGCCCGCCGATGAATCTAGGTGAATTTGGGTTCTCTAAAGAACTTTCTGCGGCTATTTTGGCTAAGGTGAATGCATTTGGGTTGATGGAACCTTTTGAGGTTGATAGAGAAAGGGGTGTTAGGGCTTATGGGATTTATCCGATGCCGTCGTTTTAAATGGTGGTAAGTTTAAATGGGGATGAGTTATTTTAAACGGTTATTAGGTTAAAATAAGGAATTAATTATTTTTTTTAAAAAAAATTGAGTTAATTTGAGTCAATTTGTTTAATGAGTGTAAATTTGATAAAATTAGTAATGGAGGAATATAATTAGTTTCATTTTAACGACAATGATAAGTTTAAATAATAAATCAAAATTGGAGAATATTTTTGACCCTTTTCTTTTATAAAAATTGCAATTAAAAAAAATTAATGAAATAAGTAGTGTGCAGCCAAGTCCATGCAAGGATGTTGCCGTTAGTCCCCAAAGAAACGGACATTAAGCCAATTCTCCTCTTCCTTTTTTTTCTGTTCATTTTGTACTAGTAAAATACTTTTTAATACTAGCAAATAATTCTTAATAGCAAAATAATTTTCTTAAAAATTATTTTATTTTTAATAATAACAATAAATAGATTTTTTTAATAACCTAAAAAGAAAAGTATGTCATAACAAATTGTACATAAAATGAAAGAAAGGATCTTGATGTTAACCAGATAAATACAAAATGTCTTTTAACACTATTTAGATTTAACTCGTGAAACAAATTGTTCACCACCCGTACTCCTAAATCCTAATTCTCCTACTGCACTACTCCCATAGGCAACACATCTACTGGGCATTTGGTTATAAATAAAAAAATTATTTAAAAATTTAAAGTTGAAATTAAAATTGTGTTTAATGATTTTCTTTTTAGAAAAAATATTTATAAGAATTGGAATGCATGGCTTTGTAAATATGATTTGAAATACAGCCAAATCATTCAACTTAGCTAACGTATCTGAAATATACAATCAACTATGTTCTAAAAGAGTAATTTTTTTAAAAAACAAATAGTCGTATAATGCTATAGATTAGATTATATATACGAGCTACTATAACCTAATACAAATATTTTCATTTTATTTGTCTCATAAAGTCATAGTCTCTATTAATATTTTCATTTTAAATTGTATCTATTCATTTTTTTTCTAAAATCCATGTAGGAACCACAGATAATGTTATGGGCGAATATGAAGACTTAAGAGATGAAGGGTAAATATAACTTTGAAGTTGGATAACAAGGGTAAATATATCAAAAAAGTATGACGAAAAATAAAGATGATCCATAGATCCTTTTCTAAGAGTACGGGGGTAAATATGACCCTCTTCCGTTTATAAATATATAAAATGAAAGAAGTAAAATGTTGACAACTGTTCAAAGTTTCTGTTAAGATCTGTATTTAACATTCTATTAAATTAGTCTAGCTATGACTTGAGTTTGTAATCTTTCAGTTAGTTAGTTAGTTAGTTATTTTTCAGTTAGTTAGATTCCTTTTCTGTTACAACTTAGCTGTATAAATGTACAAAGATCAGCTCAATGAAAGTTCAGTTTTTCATTCTGCAAAATGCAGTTTTCACCTCTGTTCTTCTTCTCCAGAATTTCAGAGCTCCTCCCATGGAGTTCTTAGGAAAATACTGATCATTTCTACATGGTATCAAAGCCTTGGGTTCTTCTTCTGTGTTGATTCTCTTCTTCTTCATATCTCGCTTTTGTTGCTTCCTCGATCAGTCATCAATCTGATATTTCCATTTTTTTTAGATCTCAGTTGTTCTTCTTCTTGCTGGTCATTGATTCATGGCGATTGATACAAATCAACCAACTTTGACTGCTGAAACTCAACAACCACAGATTCATGATTTTAATAATGCTCTCTATGTGCATCCTTCAGACAATGCTGGATCATCAATCACTCCAGTCGTGTTTGATGGTGTTGGATACCGTTCATGGCGACGGGGAATTCTCAGAGCACTTTCGGTGAAAAATAAAACAGGATTCATCAATGGCAAGATTAAGAAACCAGCTCCAACTTCGCCTATGTATGATCAATAGGAGCGTTGTGACAATATGGTAACCTCCTGGATTCTTAATTCTCTGTCAAAGGATCTAGCTGATAGCCTACCATATGTAAACAATGCAAAGGAATTATGGGATGAATTAGAAGATCGATATGATCAAGCAAATGGTGCGAAGTTGTATCAAATTCAACAGGAACTCAGTAGTCTTACTCAAGGAAACCTTGATGTTACAGGTTATTACACCAACATCAAAAGGTTATGGGAAGAATTAGCTACTTTGGATACTACACAGTGCACTTGTTTATGCACTTGTGGGGGTAAGAATAAGCTGCACAAGGCAAAACAAGATAGACGACTTATTCAGTTCTTAATGGGCCTAAATGAAGTCTACACAATTGTGCGAGGAAGCATTTTGATGATGAATCCTCTACCCACCATGTCACAAACTTTCTCTATCTTAGTTCAGGAAGAAAAACAAAGGGAAATCAAACCACATTCTCGAGTTCATCTGGATTCCACATCACTGAGTGCATCTACAGACATCAGCTCAGGTTTTAGGCAATCTAATGCAGGCAACAACACTAACACTTTCAGAACAAGTTTTGTTCCAAGTAGAAGAGGGGGTAAGGGTGTGTACAAGCAAAATAATCTTGCCAACAATTCATCTTCTGATTACTATACAGGTTCATCTAGTAATTCAGGAAATTCATTCAGAACATATCCATCAAACTACAATAATTCAAATTTGTTTTGTGACTATTGTAAGAAATCAGGCCACATTGAGGAAAAATGTTATAGGTTACATGGTTTTCCTCCAGATTTCAAGTTTACTAAGGGGAGAAATTCAGTATCTGCAGCTAATGTTCATAGTAATTCAGGAAGTACAGCTTCTGAGAAGTATGAAGGACAAGGAAACAATTTGACTCATAGCTTTACATATGATCAGTATAATCAGTTGCTTAGTTTATTAGGAAACATTCATGTTCATGGAGAAGCCACAAGTGATGGACACAAGAATTCTGCAGATGGATTTACACATGAACAAGGAGTTGTGAACCTTGCAGGTATCTTAGCTTGTCATTCCTCTATAACTGATTTTGGTAAAATGTCTTGTAAATGTGTTGTATCACCTGCTGCATCATGGATTATAGACTCAGGAGCCACAAACCACATGACATATAATAAAGCCTTACTTACTAAAATCAGACCCTTGGCTTATCCATTCTTAGTTACACTACCAAATGGATATAAAGTGAAAGTGACTGAAGTTGGTGATGCCTATCTAAATTCAACATTGACTCTATATCAAGTGTTATTTGTACCTAGTTTCAAATTCAATTTAATTTCTGTTCAGTGTCTAACTTCACAACTCAAAGCTATCATTAGTTTCACCAATTCATCATGTATTATGCAGGGCCCTTCTCTGAAGAGCCCTCTGGAGATTGGTAGTGCAAAGGATGGCCTATACTTCACTTGTTCAAGGTGTCCAAACTGCAGGAATTCATCTGGTTCTTCCTCACTTACTTCAGTTCCATCTTCTTCTGTTTCAGATCCTGTATCACATAAGCCTTTCACTTGTATCTCTTCTGTAAAATCTCTTCATGAAAATAATAAAGACATTTGTTGGACTGCACAACAATCATCTATTAGTAATTAGTGTCTTGTTAGTTTTCACAAATCATGTATGTCTCATGGAAATGTGGATCATTTGTGGCATGCAAGACTAGGCCATGTACCTTTTGGAAAAATGAAGGCTATCTCTACTATACCTGTTTCCTTTGCTCCAAAACAACCTTTTACTTGCATTATTTGTCCAATGGCAAGACAAGCAAGAATCCCTTTTCCTACCAAAAAGACAATACAGTCCACAAGAGTTTTTGAATTGCTTCACATTGATTTATAGGGACCATATAATACACCAACACATACAAATCAGAAATACTTCCTAACTATGGTTGATGACTTTAGTAGATCAACATGGACTCAATTGCTCAGTTGCAAAAGCAATTCACTACAAACCATAAAAGCCTTGATTTGCCTAATAGAAAACCAATTCAAAACTACAGTAAAATCCATAAGAATTGATAACGGTTTAGAATTCACAAATAAAGAAACCTCTGATTTTCTCCAGAATAAAGGAATCATTCATCAAAGAACCTATCCTTACTCACCACAACAAAATGGTGTTGTAGAAAGAAAACATAAGTATTTGCTTGAAACTGCCAGAGCCTTGTTATACCACTCAAAACTTCCTTTACAATATTGGGGGGAATGTGTCCTTACTGCAACATACCTCATCAATAGACTTCCTTCCATAATCTTGAACAACAAAACACCTTTTGAAATATTGTATGACAAGCAGCCTTCATACTCACACCTCAGGTCATTTGGATGTTTATGCTTTTCCACTATCAAAACACATAAAGACAAGTTTGAACCAAGATCAACCCCTCACATCTTCATTGGATACCCTTTCAACACAAAAGGTTACAAGGTTCTAGACTTGGAGTCTAAAAGGATACACATTTCTAGAGATGTCATATTTCATGAGCATATATTTCCTTTTGCTGATGTGTTTCCTGATTCTACATTCACTTCTGTCTTAAAAAATCTTAGAAATAATTATACAATGTGGAATATGTTAGATAAGGATATCACACAGGAAGTCACTAACACTGATTATTCTGTTTCCTCACCTTTTGAACTTTATAAGATTGTTGGAGTTAACACTCAAACCCCTACTGTTTTACCAACAAACATGCACACTGAAGAACCAACCACTATCCAAACTGTTTCTGCTCCTACAATACCAACTGAAACACAAAATGAACCAGTTCTTAGGAGATCAACTAGGACACACACTGTTCCAAAATATCTAAGTGAATATGCCTACAAATTTCCTTCATCACATTCATGTTTTTCAATCCCTACTCCACACACTAGTCATCACAATTCTAACCATATTTCCCTCACCTCTTTTTGCCTGGATAGTCAGCAACTAATGCAACACATTTCTCATGACATTGAACCATTTTCTTATGAGGAGGCATGCTTGGATCCTGCATGGCAAGCAGCCATGACATCAGAATTTAAAGCCTTGTATGATAATAACACTTGGGATTTAGTAACACTACCTGCAGGAAAGATACCAATAGGTTGTAGGTGGGTTTACAAGATCAAGCACAGAGCTGATGGTATAGTGGAGAGGTTTAAAGCAAGATTAGTTGTCAAAGGTTATATACAACAAGCAGGTATTGATTATAATGAAACTTTCTCACCTGTGGTAAAGATGACCACTGTAAGGACCTTAATTGGTTTGGCTATCAAGAAAGGTTGGAGTTTATTTCAACTAGATGTTAACAATGCCTTCCTTCATGGTGATCTACATGAAGAGGTCTATATGCAACTACCACAAGGCCTTCTAGTTGATGATAGAAGAATGGTATGTAAGTTGAGAAAGTCTCTCTATGGTTTAAAACAGGCTAGCAGACAGTGGTATGAAAAATTAGCCACAACACTTTGCTCAAGAGGATATTCACACTCTGACAGTGACTATTCTCTCTTCCATAGAAAAGTTGGAATATCTGTAGTCTTTGTAGCTATATATGTTGATGACATTATTTTGACAGGAACAGACTTGACAGAAATTGAGTCCTTAAAAACACATCTACATGATCAGTTCAAGATAAAAGATTTGGGAAAATTGCATTATTTCCTAGGCCTAGAAATTCTATACAAGGACAATGGTGTTTTAATTTCTCAGAAGAAGTTTGTTGCTGATTTAATCAAGGAGTTTGGTTGCTCAAACTATAGCACAACATCATCACCACTTGATCCCTCTATGAAATTGAGCTCAACTGAAGGAACACTACTTACTGATCCAACTTATTATAGAAAGTTGGTGGGAAAGTTGAATTTTCTTACAAATACAAGAATGGACATCACATATAGTGTTCAACATCTTAGCCAATTTTTGCAGGCACCTAGAGAACCATATCTTAAGGTAGCCTTTCATGTATTGAGATACTTGAAGAATGACTTGAGCCAAGGGATTTTCATGACCAAACATGCAGATTATACAATTACTGCATATTGTGACTCTGACTGTGCAGCATGTTCTGATTCTAGGAAATCTGTAAGTGGATATATAGTGTTTCTAGGGGATAGTCCTATCGGTTGGAAATCAAAGAAACAAACAACAATATCCTTGTCATCAGCAGAAGCAGAATACAGAGCAATCAGGAAGGTAGTTGGAGAATTGGTTTGGTTGGAAAGATTATTGGGTGAGCTAAATGAGTCTTGTAAGTTACCTATCTCAGTTTTCTGTGATAGCCAGGCAGCAATCCATATAGCAAAGAACCCAGTATTCCATGAACGCACCAAACACATTGAGGTTGATTGCCATTTCGTGAGAAACAAATTGCAAGAAAGGCTCATTGCTCTTCATCATGTCTCCACTTCAGAACAAATGACTGATATTCTAACCAAATCTTTGAATGGACCTAGTCATTCTAACATCTTGCGCAAGTTATCAGTAACTACATCACTGCCAACTTGAGGGGGGGGGTGTTAAGATCTGTATTTAACATTCTGTTAAATTAGTCTAGCTATGACTTGAGTTTGTAATCTTTCAGTTAGTTAGTTAGTTTGTTATTTTTCAGTTAGTTAGATTCCTTTTCTGTTATAACTTAGCTGTATAAATGTACAAAGATCAGCTCAATGAAAGTTCAATTTTTCATTCAGCAAAATGCAGTTTTCACCTCTGTTCTTCTTCTCCAGAATTTCAGAGCTCCTCCCATGGAGTTCTTAGGAAAATACTGATCATTTCTACAGTTTCTTCTCCTATATTTTTTAAAAATAAAAATTGTCTTCAATATCCCTTTTAATTTCGAGGAATATTCGAATTTTCTAGAATTGATCTACAAAGTACATATGTAGTAGCATAGTGTAGAGCTCCAACAATGAAGGCTATGAGTTTAATTTTAAGAGATCAAAATATATATGGAGTGTAGAGCTACTTTTTAATTTTAATGAAGGTTAAAGTTTCATTTTTATTTTTCTGAGCGGCTGATTTTGATCTTGAGCGATTTTTACATATAGAAAACATAAAAATCATTTGTATATATAGTTTGTATAATTGCGTTTCATAGCAAACTTTGCTATGCTATTTCACTATACATACATACAAAAGACAATGGCTGTTTCACTATACATATATACAAAAGGTTGTGGCTATTCGCTAATACATATATAAAAAAGAAGCAATTGTATAATTTGTTTCAGTATACATATAGAAAAGAATCAATTATATACTTTGTGTATGTATAAAGCGAGAAAAAGAGAGACAAAAAAATTGGGCAGGGGAAGATCGTATTTGTATAATTATAAGTGTATTTATATATACAATTTTCTTTCGTTTTATAAAAACACAAACACAATGTATATATTTTTGTTTGTATAAAGCGAGAGAGGCGAGTGAGAGTGGCGAGCGAAATCTAGAGAGGAGATATGTGTGTGTGTGTGTGTGTGTATATATATATAAAATTTTCTCTCGCTTTATACAAACACACACACATTTTATACATTTGCGTTTGTATAAAAGCGAGAGAGGTGAGTGAGACTGCAAAAAAAAAGGAGATTGACGAGCAAGATTCCACCAGGAAGAGAGGCGAAAATAGCAACAGTTTGCAATGGGGTACAATTAAACCAAACTATAATTATATTTAATTTGAATTAATAGTTTACTATTATATATGATTTTTCTTTTAATCTTTCATTGTCTCAGCTGATTTTTGTTTATTTCGGGTTGTGTCACTTTTGGACCAGACCCTTATACATAGTTGTTGCTAATTTTCAATAATAGGGTCGTAGAACCTATTTTTGATTTTAAAAAATAATAATTAACCTTTCATTGTCTATATGATAGATTTTTAAAATTTTTCATTCGATGTTTGGTATCTATATTTGAGTTCGAATGGTTCGGATTGACGTCATATAAAGCCTTATTCAGGGGAGAATGCTCCTATCAAGGATTTCTCTGCACCCACATATCGAACCTAAAATCTCTGGTTAAAGAAGGAACAACCCCAACAGTAAGGACAACTCAAAAATATTAGGGGTTTGAAGCGAAACTTGATAGAGTGACTCTAATATATTTATTTCGTCATATATACTTTTATTTAAAATCTACATTCCTAGCTTTTAGGTGTGAAACTACTAATTACTGTTTTGTGATTAATGTATTTTAATAATTCCTTTTCAATTGATAATATAGCTAAATCCATTTACTACATTTTAGTTTCAAAAAGCTTCTTTCGGTTGAGGCAACGATCACATGAACTGTTAATATTTTATAAGCAATATGTGTATTTGAAAAAGAATCAACTATTTTTATTTGATTGAGTATTTTTATTAGATCATTATCTTCTACTTATATTTTTTCTCCTAACAATTTTAATAAAAATATAAATCTAAGCCATCAATATCAGATAACTATTACGTGTTAATTAAAGTTCAAGGTTAAGACAATTTTTTAAAATATTCATTATCTAGTGTATTTTGAACCTCCATATTTTTTTGAACCTCCAATTTTTTTAAAAAATACTTATACATATTACTTAAAAAATTATATGTATGTTTAATATTTTTTTTTAAAAA